TCAAATTTATGTATTTGATAAACATTATTATACAAAGAAAAATTCATCTGAGAATATAGCTTGGTGGTAGAGCATCTGTCTAAGAAAACAGTGTTCAATTTTTCAAGCCCTGAGAAATGGTAAAAGCATTTAATTTTTATTTTCAAAACTTTTAGGATTAGGAATACTTGGTTTTGGAAATTCATGCTCACGATAAAACTGGGATGATGCTAACAGAGTTTATTAGGAAGGGTTTCTCTTCTTCTTTGGACCTCAGACATCCTTAGAGACAACCACCACTCCCACCTTTCACCGCCAGAGCCTCTTGTAAGTATGCTTGCTGTGTATTCATTCTTTTTTCCTCCGCTTTGTTAGACCAGTAATCCACAAGCTTTATAATCAATGAAGAACACCATAAGAACTTAGAAATGCAGTCTGCCTAGTCCTTTCTCGAGAGATTCGAACTCAAGGGTATGGGCAAGTTGTAAGAATCTATTTGTGATGAGGTCATTCTGAAGTAGGTAGTATTGGCCCCTACTCTGAGATATTGTTTTAGGAACCAACAAGAGTCTCATGGCATTAGGGGCTAATCTAGTTGGATTAGAGGAATTTATCATAATGACATGCCTTCTCTGTAGTCTTTGACCTTTACTGGGGAGATCTTCCCTTTGGTCTCCATGGTGATGCACAGAAGTCATCCACATTCAATTAGACTGAGGATGTGGATTTGTTCCTTTGCATTTTGCCAAAGGCCCTGCTGCTGAGCTGCAGAGTCATTAGTTAGGCCAAGGAAACTCAACTTTCTTTCTGTCCTTCTTTCCTCCCTCCCAACTCCTCCCTCTTCTCTCTTGTATGATTCTAGCTAAAATCAGTAATAGTCACAAAAATCATAGACTCTGGAAAAATAAGCATAACCTATACATTAAGATCAGTCTGTACATAGGAAAACTCAGGCCCAAAGAGATTAACAAATTTACCTGAATCACAAAATGAACCAGTGGTGAGCTTAATCTTGCAACAGCACTCTTTTCTTATTTTACTGACAGCTAAAGATTTCAGGGCACCTGAAAATTATTCATTTTCTCTTGTACAGTCCACCTTTCACTTTGAAATGTCTTTCTGTTCTCCCCTGGCTGTTTGTCTCATCTCCCATAGGTCATACTGCCCCTGTTTGGATGTGGTGCTTAGTGTTGTGACTGTGTGATTATTTCTGAATTCTTGAATACAGCCATATGGTATCTTCTTAGACCCCAGGTTATCAAATATAAAGCAATTTTGAACTGAAGGGGTTGTGGTTCCTTTAAATCAGTGGGAGAACAGGAACTCAGAGTTCTTACCCTCCGCATCCTTAAACAAAGGCTCAAGGAACAGTCTGCTCCTTGGTTTTCTGGGGCTGGGGGAGGGAGAGGTCAGACAAAGGTGGCCTGGTTTGCAATCTCATCCTGTCTTCCTCATACTATCGACAAGGCGTGGAATGGTTTATAGATTTCTGCCTCACTTTAAGGACTATTTACTGATGTTTTCAGACACTTATCCAATCTCAAGAAACTCAAGGGAACTGATTTCAACTGTGAATTATATATTATCCATATTTTGAACAGAACAGGCAATTTTAATGCAAAGTTCCCATCAATCAGGCCATGGGAAATGGAAGGCTTTGATTGGCTATTGTGTTTGAAATCATTTATGTTGATTGAAAAATTTTAAACTTCTGAGAATTTAGTATTTAACCTGAATATGATTCTTATCACCCCCTTATAGTTTCCTGTATTTGCAGGTTCTGGTGAAATATTAGCTTATTGTACCATGCATTTGATAAGGTCCCCAGAGTTTAGCCAGGAGAAATATCAAAATGTCCTTGGAGAGCTCATGTGTCTGATGAGAACAAGGATTCCAGGAAAAAAGTGCTCAATTCCCGAGTAATCACAGGAATTCAGAAAAGAAATAATTCCTTCCAAAAGCTGCTTTTGCTAACTAGTGACTGTCCCCACAGTTTAAGCATTAAAATACTATGTTTAGTAAAGAGCTGCATGTAACGAGAACAGACAACATTCACAAGGCTCTAGGCACAGCTAGTTTGTACTTATGTCCTCAGAGCTTTTGGGGACTCACTGTCCTGTCGCAACTAATTTAGCTGCCTTCTTCCAGTCTCACATTAAAACAGATGATAGATGTACACATGAGCACAATAGGATTCTTTTGTTGATTGTAGTGGGTAGCTGGCAAATCGGCATAGGAGTGATGTGTGTGTGTGTGTGTGTGTGTGTGTGTGTGTTATTGTGTTACTGTGTTATTTTTGGGATTCTGCATTATCAGAGAAAAGTTGTCACAGGCTGCAGCGCTGGCATTAGCATTGTAGAGACAGCAGCATCCTGAGGCATTTTCTCGGGGGAAACTCCTGCTGTACACGCTGCTCTCCCTACCCTACACATCCATGTTTACCATGCCTAACCTTTCTATTTATAAGCTAATTGCAAGGATGATGGTCATTATTTTAACATGTTTTTTTACATATGTTTTCCTGCTGTAGCCCAGTCTTAATAGATGGTTGCTCTCTGTTCATGTGTTTTCATTTTACCTACCATTGAGCTGGTCTTGTTCGTATTTAGTTGTCTTTGAGGAGTTAATGATTCTATTTTCAAAAAGGCATTTGCTGACTCTCAACCAGTAGAATTGCTAGCTACCCAAGCTATCCTGCTTAGCTTGGGTCTCTTTAATTCACTACTGGAAATAAATTATCCCTAGGAATTTCAATATTATCTTATAATCTAATAAACTACCCAATATCACTAATGGCCCTTTTAGGTTTTAAGCAGTTTCTGGTTTTGATGAGGATTATGAACCATCTATAAGGATGGGGTTAATGGTTCCCAGAAGGGACACATCACCAGCCAGGCTGTAAAAACTCATGCATGGTTTGGTCTTCTGATCACAAGAAAAAAGCATTACATTTACAGTCTAAAGATTCTTGAAAAATTACGCTCATTATATTATCATTGTTGTTACTATTTTTACAGTGGTTTTGAATCTGAATATTTATTTACTCATGCCTTATATTATTTGCCAAGGATTTATTTTCTAAATTGTCTTCTTCTCAAATCAATGAAGAATGACTATATTTCTTTGACAGTTTCCCATATAATACTATTGTCTGGAAAACTCAGGCAATGAAACTAGTTAGCTAGGTAAGATGTTATTCACACACTTGTTTTAGTTGCTTATATCAACCAAATAGTAGTTTTATGGAATAGTAGTTTTAATTCCTTGTGAAAAACACAAGAATCCTTCCGAATTTCTGCATTGTAAATATACTTAATTTGACTAAGACAATAGATGCCAATGCAAGTGTGTTTTCTCTGTTACTATAAATCCTGGTACCTCTGAGGAAATGAGAGAACAGGAAGAAAGGACGGGGCTTGAGATTCTGCCCAGAAACTAGAAGGAACTAGGGGGTGGGGGGCAGGGGATCTTGGCATAAGGAAAAAGAAGGCCAGAGAGGTGATACATGGAAGACTGGACAGAACTGGGCAGTATTATGAGCAGGAAGAAGACTGCGAGGTGTTCCAGTGGGGTGTGGGCACAGCCAGGCCATTTAGTGTCAGGTCACTGCAGGAAAGCTCCTTGAATTCAGGCCCCAAGTCTCACCTGACACCTGAGCTAACTCAGGTGGGCCTTAACGTTTCCTTAGGAGGAGGCAATGCTTGTCGACCGCTCACTAATGGGCCAGATTTTCAGCAGCTCTCACCTCATTTCCTTCTGCCCAGTATCTCTGCATGTGAAATGACAGCCACAGTGTCATTTCCTGTGCCTCCTCCACCTCTGTCCGATGTGCCTGACACAGGGCTGGGCTTGGGTTACCGCTTTATAACAGTCCGTTATCATTGAGGTCATTTACTCAAGGATCTTGAATTCAAACATGTTTAGATGTGGTTGCTGAAATTTAAATCCAAATGTGCTTGACTCAAAGCCTAAGATTTTTGGAATGGTAGTGCTTCCACAGTGTGAGAAGAAAACAGGCAGGGTAGGTAGAGTGCCACGTGTCCATGTCAACTTGTGACCAGGTCTGCTTGATGGGTGCACTTACTATCTGCCACCCACTCTAGGCCAGGTCTTTCCACAAATCCCTCACACTGAAGTCAGGGTAACCCTGAAGAAAGCGCCGAAACTGGGGCTCTCCACGGCGCACCAAGGACCAAGAGCAAGGAAAGGCAGTACTTGAGAGAGCTCATTCTTAGTTACCGTCTTCTGTGGAGTAATTATTCACGGGAAAAGGACTCCTCTGAGTCTTTAGCTTACTGAGCAGTAGTGATGACCAAGTCTCAGGAGGACACAGGAAGCCTTGATTGGATGATACATTAGAAACTTCATTGGCATCTGGTGCGGCCTCTAAGCTTTAAGTTACCATGTAGCAGAATCTAACCGTGCTCCCCACTGCCTCCAAATGTGAGGAGGGCACTGGACCTCCTGAGAGCAAATCTTTCTGGGGCTGGCATTTTATATACTTATTTTAATTTTCTTACTGGTGTAAGTTAAGTAGATGCTCCCCTTGTCTGTTTCCTCCACCCTCCATTTTCTCACCTCTTCTGCTAACATAGCCCTTCTGTCTCTTTAGGCAATTTTATTTCTACTGTCATTTAATACATACATACATACATACATACATACATAGTCTATACATACATGCATACATACATACACACATAATACATACACACATACACACATATGTACATACACATACATATATATACATGCATATATTTATACAAGCACACATACACAATACATACATACATACATACATACATACATACATATTATTCTATGTGACTATATGAAATCTAGGAGCCACAAGCAAGAGAAAATGTATGATACAATGTTTGTCTTTCTAGGACTGGCTTCATTTGCTTGATATGATTGCCATTAGTTATATCTATTTTCCTGAAAACAACATACACTTCCTTTTTCTTTATGGTTGGAAAAAAATTCATTGTAGTGTTTTGTATTTTCTTATCTCACAGGTGGACTGGTCCCCAAGAAGCCTCCACTGGCCACTGTGATTGTATTAGGAGATGTGGGTTAAAGAGAGGAAAAGTCAAAGAATCCTCAGATCAGTGGATCCCTGCTGCAAAGGCCCAGCCTTCTCCTCGGTCTGTCAAATTAAGGAAAACTTCCACCATGGGGTTTCCCTGGCTTCTGACAATTCGTGATGTAGATGTTTGCCTCGATGTAGTTGTTCCTGTATTTGAGGATTAACTTAACCACCACCAAGAATTCTCAGTGGGCAGCATTGCTTGGCCTCTTTCAAACTTAAATTTAGGAAAGAAAGTAGACTCAAAAAAGCTTTGCCTCCAAAACCTGGTAATTTTTTGGTTACATTCCTTTAAAAAATGAGCTATAAGCCATGTCACTAAGGTATACTGTCTAAGGGTTTTCAACCATACTTTTATGATGTGCTTAAATATATTTAAGTTACCAAGTCTATGCTTCAAACTGTGTTTTTCCCTTACAATTTCCAAATCTTCATGCAATACCTATAATTTATGATAAAGACCTTATTATCTCATATAGCAGAAAGATAAAAGTGTGTCTCATGAGTTAAGACATATTTTTCTGAGCTTTAATTCCAGTTAATTTCCCAAACTTCATGCTGTACCTAATGTCCTGTCTGCTACACGAAGCAGAAAAATTACAGATGTTCTCTAAGCGATTATTTAAATGTAAGGAGCTTTAACAACTCTCTGGGAGAAACCATGCGATGAGCATCATGGCTTATAGTGCATCCTGAAAGTGGATGAGAAAATAAAGCCTCACTCAGAAATACCAACAGTAGAAACCACACATATCTTGGTTAAAAAAAGAGTGAGTGTTCAGCTCTCGGGTGTTTATGAGATGTGACTGGGTAAAATCCAGCCAGACTCTCCTTTCATCACCAGAGATTGTCTCCTGTGAATAATTTTTTGATTAGGGGTCAAAAACCGAGCAACATTTATCTCAGAGGACAAAGGAAAAACCAGTCCCTGGAATTATCTATGTGGTAAAATGTCAGCTACCATGACTTTGAAAATAATAGGAATTTTCTGTTTTGCCACTTTCAAAATTAATTTTCTTCTTTGCCTGAAACAAGGAAGAATTATGAAAACCTTTTATATTAGATTTGCAAATGCCAGTAAGTTACCCACCCTCATTTTTTCTTTATCAGTTTGCCCTTTTGAGAGGTGCCACACACACAGTACAATGAATAAATTCGGCATATTTTCCTGTTCACCAAGCATAAATTATTACTAACTGTGGTGAGAGGCTTTTTGAAAAGCTGTTTAACTTTATGGAAGGGACTTCTTTTTATCTATAAATGATTCTGTTTGAAATCAAAGTAGATATTTTCTTATCTTTGTGACCTCAGGACACTAAACTATGATGACACATTTCCATTCTGAGAGGGCAATGAGAGGCATAAGCTGAATAAAAACCTCCTAATGTGTTCCTGTGCTTGGCTCAAGTTGTCTGTCTTTGAAACACTAAGAGAATTACCTTAGCATTAGTGTGTGATATGACTCCATTGCTTGTTATCTGATGACTGTGTTGTGCCTGGCTGGGGTGGGTGGCTTATGAGGTGATTGCAGAACTCCTTTCTAAACACACACACACACACACACACATACACACACACACACACACACACACACCACACCAGCCCTGTGAGTACCAGTCTGATGCCCTGTAGCTTTCAGCTCCCCTGAATCAAAGGAAAACAAAGATATTCTACTTCTCATACCTGACAGGGGTGCAGGAATTTGATGAAGCATCAGTTTGAAGGAGCAGTAGCACAGCCGTATCTGGATGGAATGGCAGAAGTCAAAGCCAGCACAGCTGCCTGGCAAAGATCCAGCAAAACGGAGCCACATGATGGCTGCCATGACACCTTCGGTTTCCATCTCCACCTGTTACATACTTGGGAGACTTTTAATATTTGTACAATTTGGGGATATTGGATTGATGGAAAATTTCTTATGGATCATTTATGCCTTCTCCCAGGAATGCTGCTTCTAAGCTTCCCCAGGACAGTCCTGAACATACTATTCCCCCCACTTTTAGGGAGATATCTTTATCTACTTGAAGGTCTTCCTTATGCCTTGGGCGTTGTGACACACATAAAGAAGCCAAAGGTCTCTTTATGAGGCTATGAGACATCTTTGAAACATCTGTCCCTGTACTTACTCAGGAACAAGATAATCAAAACAAAGTAAACTTAAAAAGGTCAACAAGGTTTGGTGGGCTAAAGGAGTTGGCCACAGATCAGATTGGAAGCCTCTTCCCACTATACACTCAGGCAATTAGTTGGCATATACAGCAACAAAGTTAGACTACCTGAAATTACCTCTGTCCTACACAGGGACTTATGTTGATCAACAAAGAATGACATAGAAAGATGATAAAAGAATGAGATATCAGGACCTCCTTTTCTGAGAAAACTTAGCTCATGCAGAGTCACTGTGATGTTATATTACCAAAGAACAACAGAATGCCAGGATTATAGTTATCAACAAATTCTATAAAAATATAAAATATAAACACTGTATTATGCCAGAATTTAAATAATAACTGCAGCACCTTTGGCCTGAGGATTTTTTCTTGGACACTCTGACCATTAAGAGTTAATAATATACTGCTTGGGACATGGCAATATGCCCGGGCTGGCTTGAAGATTTTGTTTTGGTCTAGTGTCCTTGTAGCCACAAAAGCTACCAGCCTGAGAACAGGCTGTCATATGCCTCTAGATTTTTAAAAATTGGGTTATGGGGTTAATGTGTAAAAATGCTAATTCTATTAATGATATCAGAACTTGAGGGGAAATGATTGGAAATGATAGTTCTGTTCTGTCATAGTTTATTAATGATGACTAAAAGATGAGCAAAAGAAAGTGAAACTCATGTCCAAAACCAAAAATGATATGATCCATGTTTTGGAATAATATGAATGTATTCCTGCTTACTAAATTCTATATAAATAAAGAAGCACTCTGGCTGCTAGTCAGTCAGGCTGCAAGATTCTCCTGACCACCATGGCCCAGCTCACCTCTTTCCTTTGACAACTCCTTCTATCCTCTACTGAGACCTGTCCTGCCAGGGATGGCTCCTGTCAGAGTAGGACTAGTGATTCCGAGATGCACTTCCTCTCTGTCCATCTCTCCTAAAATCAAAACTAAGAAGTGTCCTGTGTTTGATGCCTCCTGTTGTTGCTCTTGCATCTCCCATCTTCAGACTCTGCCCTCATCTGGAGCTGGAATCTGACATAACAGTAATAGAGTGCACATCTATCAAATGATTAGAACTGTTACTCAATGACAAGCAGCATGGAAATTCATAAATGGCTTTCATGTATTAGCACGTTTATTGTGTCCTCACTCCATCTGACAGCTGTCTTCTGCCCAGTCACTTTATCTCAGTCAATTGAATATTGAACCACAAAGTTGGCATTTAGCATTAAGATGCGACTTTGGACCATTTACTGATCTGCTATTTTCTTGAAGAGTTCTCCACTCTTCCATTTCATTTATTTAGTATTTTAGAGATGTGCAATCATTTCAGAATCCATGACTTCTGAAAAATGAACATTTTAATAACCCAGCCCTGGATTGAGACTTCTAACATCTTGGGCCTTGTCACTGAAGAGGAAGAACTACACATTTTGAACCTTGGGTGATAAGACAAAACATAAGACTGCATCAAAGCCTCCTGCCTCCTAGTACAGCTGACTCATGGCCTAGGCACTCTGTTTCAGCAGGAAGCAGTGCTTAGCAAACACTGAATCACTTGCCCAGGCAGCACGTGAGTGAGGTTGAGCTGTGACACCAACTGCTTGACAAGCCGTGATGGCTGTTCTCTCTACAACGCAAAAAGGATGTGAAAATTATTCATCCTCATATGTTAGGTCTTAAAATAATCTGCACTGTTGATACAAGTTTAAGAATTGTACAAGCAATTTTCTTAGCCTATCTGGGTGAAAGTTCAAATGACCAAAACCCTTTTGCATAGAAGCACAATGTATAACACTGGGCAGTATTTAGAGAGGTACCAAGGAGGTTGCGGGGTAAGTCTGGACATGAATTAAAGTTGTAAAGAATTTTAAAATTAAGTATTATTTAGGACATAATGTCAATATTCTTAAGCTCAGTAGGTCTAATTTTACTATGCTTCTTTTCCTTATCCCAAGCCAAAATTAAAAAAAGAAAAGCAGATGACTTAAAGGGTATGGTAGCATATATATGGTTTCTGATTTCTGAGATAATATTATCTCATAGCAATCTAAAGATTATGTTAAAAATTGAAATGACTCACAGCAGTTTCATAGTTACAAGAAGCTTAAAAAAATCAATCTTATAGGACAAATTTATCTGGTTGACTCTAATCAAAAAGTCATTCATGGAGTTTTACTTATATTCAAAGCTATCAAACTTCCCTAGAACATCGATCTGGTTCCAGTGAAATTTACAAAGGGACTAACTTTTAAATTACAAAGAGTGAATGTTTAATGCTTAGTTTCATCACACTTTTAAAAGAATCCAGGGTTCATTTAAATTTCTGAGCTGAAATCATTTTGATGGACAAATTACAGCTCAGCTGAGTGGGGTAGCACATATGTAGCTGAACTTGTGCACCAGATAATAAAACTATTTATGGTCATTCATAACGTTTTCCAAAATTTGTCACATGACTTAAAAAAAAGAACCTTGAGGCTCAAATCCAACTCCTCTGCCTTTTCTGCTACAAATAGTCTCTCCAAGTCAGTAGTTTTTGCCCTTGAAATGTCCCCTGTAGAAACTATCAATGATTTTCTATAGTTTTTATAATATATGAAAGTGTTAGGGCGCTTGGCTGCAAGCAACAGAAAGCAGTTCTGAGTATCTAAAAAGGCCGCATGCACATACAGGATGGGCGACTGGCTTGTGATGAAGCAGGAGCAGGGTGTTTCTGGAATGGGGAAAAACGGGAGCACAGTGTTTGCTTTGTAGCACACTGCATCTGGTAGAGTCAGGACAGCTGGGGCATAGACTTTGTAGATGTGCTCAGGAGGGAAGGAGGAAAACTCTAATCTCATGGCTTCTAAACTCCTGAAATTATCATTCCTATAAGAATACATGTGGAAGGGTGGGCCAGTCACCTAAAAGGTTGCATCAGGGGCTGTAGGGGGTAGGAAAGGATGCTAGGTGACAAACGTTCATGATGAAGTATTTTTCCCCCACCAATACTGCATCTTTTCAACTTAGTTCAATTCCAATCAATAAATAGTTACCAATAAATAAAAGTACAAGGCATAGAGGTAAGTACAGGGCATGCTGGGAAATAAAAGCCTCTACACTTTGCTGCTAGTCATGTAGTAACTCATGTTCCAGCACTGGCTTCTAAGTCTATTTGGAGCCTTCAGTAGACCTATGAACCATGTACAACCTTTGACCTTTCCTTATATTTCCCAAGTTCACCTTCCTCCAACGTGTTCATGTACAAATCCACTTCCCTGACTCTGCTTGTGTCTTAACCTTAGTTTTAACTATTTAGGCTATAGGCAACTCTAATGGTATCATTAAGACATTAGGTAAAAAGGGACATGAGGGATCTTACTAGAGTTGCTGGAAATGTTTGAAATTTGGGATGTGGCAATGATTGTGCAATTCTGTAAATTTACTAAATCCGAGTATATTCTGTGTTAAAAACAGTTGAATTTTACAATTTTATGATACAGTAACTATCCCTTAATTAAGATTTTATTTTTTTTAAAACACTTAATCCAGAGATATGCAGAGAATAAGAGACAGTGGAGTGCTCAGTCTAAATGAGGTATTTACGTCACTTTCCCTCCTCCAAAGCTCAGGGTTCATCAGAAAAAACGGGGCAGGAAGGACGGCAAGAGCCAAAGGCATGAGAAAATGCTTACAGTCAGTTTTTTTTTTTCCGGGACATGATAGTGTAGTTGCAGGACCTCACCAAAGCTTGGGGTCACAGAAGCTTCAGCTATATGCACAAAACTTGTACAAAATCAGTCCAGCCCAAATCCTAGCACAAATGGGAGAGGTTCATGAAGTCCCACCCCCCTACCTGAGTTGGCTTCTGGGGAAGGGAGAGTCAGTCTTCTTCATGGAGCTGGCCCCTTGAGAGGCTACCCATACTCAAGCTCCAGTGAATTGTCCTACAGTCAGGAACCTACAGGCAGCACTACTCAATGGTGTGTGTGTGTGTGTGTGTGTGTGTGTGTGTGTGTGTGTGTGTGTGTGTGTGTGTGTGT